TCTAGAGCGCAGCTTTGTGGGATTTATGCAAACTGGGAAAAAAAAGAATACCGAGGGAGGGAGGCGCTCCCCCCCCCCCCAAAAAAAAAAAAAAACGCGAATGAGTAATATTTTTTGGAAATAAAGTATTCGAAAAAAAATGATTAAAAATAAAAACGGCCCCAAGGAACAGGCTAAGGAGGGAATCCTTGGACAACTTGATAACAGTTTCAATTGAAAGGCCTCCCTTGTCCAAAGTTGATTTTCATCAGGCCTATCGGGTATGGCATAAGAAAAAGAAGAGAAAAGGAGAGAAGCCATGATCTGAATCATGAGCCACAAAGACTTTTTTCCTTAAAATTTGTGGCCTGAAAGAAACAAAATTAATTAACCTCACGTTCAGTACTTGTAAGTCTGTAAATGATAATTTCAATAAACGTTCGCTTTCTCATAGAAAAGTAATAATCGCTAACCAAAATGCCTTTAGGAAGACTCCCTTTCTTGAACACCAGTTTCTTGAAAAAGGACCCCCTAAAATTACATTGGTCAATTACTAGAATAAACCCTGAGGCTCTTGTGTCCAAATAAAAAATATGTATATCCTTACCTCCCCAATGAAATACACATATCTGCAATTACCACACTCTAAAAGAGAGGAAGTAAGGTGTAAGAAGTAATTTCATAGTTCTCGTTGTAACACTAGAATTTTGAGTTAAATTTTGAGATCACTTCCAAATGTAATCGCACATTTCTAAAAAAACTTACCGTACCACTCTCCAACCCAACCAGTGCCACTCATAGTTTCAGCAATGGCCTTCATGCACTCGATGTAGTTATCCTCAGGCATTGTTGGTAGGAATGAATTCTGTATCAAGAAATCAGTGGAAAAATTAAATATTCTGTCGGTAAATTACTGTGATACAAGACATGCAAATGTTCTTTCTCCATTTTAACAATAGAACTTAGGTTGTTATCGCTATCGTTATCAATTTGCCCTATGCTCAAAACATTTAAATTTTTCTTCAGATAACATATCTGTGTATTCTTACTTTCATAATCGAAGGATCAGTCATGAGAGCATAAAGAGGCTGAGCTAAGGATCCTGCACCAATACACTGCAAAGCCACAACTGTATGAATCACAATTTCAGCCAAGGCATGCTCCTGTGCACTCTTTCCATTGTATATATGAAGTTCTCTAAGATTTCCACCCTGTTTGTTTTCAAGAAGTTCCTTGGCGAAAGGTCGGGCCTAAATGACAGACAGAGCCCAGTGCAAAAAAAGAAAAGAGATGGAGAGGAAGAACTGTAAGGTAGCGGCGACTATACAATTACCAATTACTATACACGAGTTGACGACATTTAACAAAAAAATTGGGAATTAAAGAATCGTGCTAATTGTTCCTTTCTTCTCTAGTCACCTCATCGGCAATCGATTTTGCAGTAAACGTGCACCCTTTATTTCAATTGGTCTTACCGTTTCGTGTAGGTGTCCTCCACTTCTTACGAAATCATCAAGCTTTACCCTCACCTGATAATAAAAAAAAAAAAGAAATCATCTTCTTTTCTCAAAGCAGCAGGCATGAGTGTAACGAATTAGCGCGAAGGAAGGATGATTAAGCATACAGAGCAGAGTTAAATTTTCTTTGGAAAGTGTACATCGTTTTCCCTTACCTCTTGGGACAAATTCTGTGTCTGAACTGGAGACACATTTGACATCGTTATTTCACGGTAGATCACCAGGAGGAGAAGTACGTTTTTAGAGACATCTTGTAATCTTGTTTCCTACGAAAAGAGTATTCAAAAGTTCTAATGGTGCATTGTTTGGAAACTTTGTATGAAAGAGGTTCGATGGTTGACTAAGCCTTTAGTGTTTAAAAGTACTTATAATTCGCTAACCAAAATGGTTGTTAGCTGTAAAACTATGTAAAATGCAACCTCTAGGGTTTTATAAGACTAAGACCGTCGTTGACATAATTCAGGGGTGGATCTAGCATACTTCTGAGGGGCTCCAGAGGTAAGAAATATCGTAACTGACGGGTGACGTAAACAGTTTTGAAAGCGAAAAACGAAGAAGAAAGCTTACGAGTAGGAAATAATATAATGTAAACTGCTGAGAATGCATTGCAGTTCAGCAGACTTTGTACAACCTCAAAGAAATAGTAGGAAGCTGCAGGGTGAATGAGTGATATCTATGAAAAAAAAAAATTCTAGCATATATTTGGGCCCACGTCTTGCTATGCCATTTCCGAATGTCTGGAGTCGATACAATCCATAATGATGACAACTACACTGTTAAAACAAACCGTAATGGCAGTAACAATGTCTTGGATGTTCTCAGTAATGACAGTTTTGGCCAGCCCCTCCCGGATGGTACGATAATGGTCTCCATGAACAATAAATCTGTCTTGGATTACATCCTCCTCCTACAGATCGAAGGCCGAAGATCAATAGCAAGCAAAATGTATTACTTAAGAAGAATGTAAAAAGATCGTTGCCTTTAGACATTTAAGGATAGTGTTCTATGATGAGCAATAAAGAATTAGGAAGAAAACACCTGAATTTAAAACTTTTCTCATTTTCGCTTCAAAGTCTTCGAAGGTTCCGCTTTAGAAACATGTGTGGTTTTTTGAGCGATATTCGCGGGGTTTTAGTAGATATGCCCTCACATGAGTAAAGAGAAATTCAGTTTACATAGTGCTTGGCCTGGCTATTTAACAGGTTCCATGCAGCACAGTACTTAGAGCACCTGACTATGAGGCCAGAACTTGCCAAAATTGAATACCTGGCATTCAGATTTTTACTTTCCTGTACCATGCTTACGAAATATGCATACCATTTTTCTTTAAAGATTCAGTTCTCAAACATTTCAACGAAATCCATTCAACAATCATTCACTGTCTACCTGCTGTCTGGCCTCCGGTGGTAGAATCCACGCCAGTTCCTCATATTCACCCAGAGTCCGAACACAGTCCAAACCATACCTCCTGACAAGCTGTTTAAGCAGGTAGAGCTGCGGTGTGGTACTTGACACTTCCATGCAAAGCTTCCTTGCAGACTCTAATAATAACATCACTTCTCTCTTGGCGTCAAAGTCTTTGTAGCTGCTATCTCCCTCAATGAACAATTTGTAAAGTAACTCTACCACCAGTGATAAGACGTAACGTCCTTTGGCAACCCCATCCAGAGAAAGCGCGCTCATTTCAGCAGAATCCTCGTCACTGGCGCTAAGAGCTGTAAATGACTCTTCACAAGTCTTTTTAGCATGTTTGAGTTTTACTGTCAACTTCGAATCGGCTACTTTGGCCTGATAACGGCTGATAAGGATGTCCTGAGGAAAAGGAAGTGAGAATTACGAACAGCTATGACTTGATGGTTCAATAAACCCCATACGATAAGAGCGAAATAAGTAACATATGGGTATGGAAAGAAAATGTAATTGCAGTTTAACTACACTCACTTCACAGCTGCAGTAGAGTATTAGATAAGTTTACACACCTCCATGCACTGGACGCATAAGAAGCAGACTTCTTTGACGTGCGAAGGTTCTGGTTTTAAGTCCCGAGCCCCTTGTAAGAAAACTCTCAGATGCTCTTTCACCAACTTTGTCAACTTTGCACTATTTGCATAAAATAAGCAGTTTTAGAATGTACTTCCCCATGAATTGGACAACTTAACATAAACTGAAGATAGGAGAAAGAGATACGATACAAGAAAAACAGACATGTCAGGAGGCAAAGGAAAGGTTGAGTGCTAGAATCGAAAGAGAGATTGCTTCTTATCATTTTTACCTTGAGCGCAACAGCTGTTGGAGAAGAAATGAACGCACCACAGGAGTGGGGTCGATACAATAATCAGGGAATGGAGAGAAATCCTTTGTCTGGCTTGACTGATGACCGATAACATAACGCATGAGTAGAGAGATAGCTTCATGTTCAAGGTCCTTTGACACTGAGTCACCAAAACAGAATATTGACACCAGCTCCATGAAAAAGGCGTTACATCGGCGGCGTAACTCAGATGCAGTCTCTTCACTTGTCCTGTACACGTAAAAAACATGAACAAATTCCAGAAGAGAAGCAGAGTCGTTTCTTGAACCTCAAATTAAGTTCGAAAACACCTTAGCTTCCGCCATGGCCCACAAGCGGGTCCAAAGACGACTTGTGTCAGACATTACCCGAAATAAGTTGTGGGGGAATATGATCAATAATGTAGCCTCTGAAACTTGCAGAGACTGAGGCCCTTGTAACAATATATAACAACTACATTGTGCATAATGTGCTGGTTTACCTCTGCTTGACGTCTTCACTGTAGTTAATCAAGAATTTTTCAGTAGCCTGTAGCGATCTCAACGATGAAAAGTCAGATTCGTCTCCCAAAACCTTCAAAAAAGAGCAGTTTGTTTCAATTTCTAGCTAATCACTTTTTTTTTTGCATTTCCCAACTCTACCCTACCTTCCACAACCGGATCACGTTCTCGCAGTTGACATCTTGATCTTTCTCGGCGAACAAAGTCACGTGTTCCACAAAAAGTCGAACAGCCCCTGTTCGCTGCCACATGGACCTGAAGCACACAAGAAGGGAATAACCATAATGATAGCTCATTTCCGAATCAGCCTCTTTTTCAAGGAGAGTCCTAGTGCTCATCCTTTCATGCGATGATAAGTTTTCATTCACATGTAAATTAAACTCATTTTCAAAAGATTAGTTGAGATCCAGGCCTCGTTTTGAAAAACAGATCAAAGGTGATTTGGAAATAGCCTATTAGCTTAAATTACTCATATACAATTCATAATATATTCTACCAAAGTGGTCCTCAAGATAACCCCTAATAACAGGTTACTACTACAATAAAATTTAAGACATTTTTATGCGCGACAAAAATTTCTTCCCCATCAAATTCGACTAAAAAAGACAAGGTCACTAAGGCCAAAGTCTTACAAAATTCACTTTCACGCGTCATCTCTTCTACCTAGAATGATTTCTCGCCATTTAAATCCGCAACCTATGGGTAAATTCTAAAATAGCAAATTTTTAAGTTGACTTTGAATAAGATTCAGAGTTAAGATGGCCTGTAAATAATTCATTCACAAGGTATCATTAAGTTCGCTATTAACGACGGGCACCGTCTTAGGAGGTTGTGCTAGCACTTGCTAACTGCACATGGCTGGTCGAAAGACCAACTGATTACACCTGCAAAATTCTCTCACGAAAAGACGGAGCGAGCGAACAACTAACTGATTATACAAAATCTTACCAATAAGGTCTGCGGATTATTGACACCACACTGCTTCAGAGCCTTTAGCCGGCTACTGCTTGTATCACAATGAAAAAGGAAAACACTCGAAAAGGAAAAATTGGGTGTTTTGTTACCTGCAGTAGCCAAGCATTACTGTTGATCTCTCTCCATAGTTTGAGCATTTCTCCGTGACAGGTCCGAATCTCTCTTTCCTTATCATGTCGTCCACCGCTGGCCTTATAGACAAAACTTGGTCACACCAAGTTCGTCGCGTTTCCGGAGAAAGCAACATTTCTCGTGATGGCTCAAGTGCCTCAAGACAAATGTGCAATGCTATAACATCCAAAAGCTGTAAAAAAATGCAAAAGGAAAAGAAAAGCACAATTATCTATGATTTACAGACAGCCAAACCAACACGGCAACCTAGATTATACATGAGTAATATTAGAGCAAAGCAACAAAACAACTCAGAAGGAGCAAACTTTGTAGCTAAAAAAGAAGGGGGGGGGTTGGCTCATTTGGCGCCTATGACTCCCACATTATTTACAAACAACTCATAATTTTCAGTTTTTAAACAATCTGGCCTGTCCGAGGGCCATTTACACATTTTGATCAGTATGGGACCTACCTACTAAAAAATTTTGCCCAAAAGGGTAGAGAGAATGGTAATAATCACCACTTACGGGAGCTTTTGTTGATATAATGCCTAAATATTCGATTAACTAAGGAACTCATAAAAATATGTACACAGTTAAAACTGCTATATCAAAAACAGCCACGGTTAAGTATTAAAACTCACCACTTCTGGCTCATTTCCCATGAGAGCTTCTCGTAGTCTTTGTACCACATCTGGATTCGCTTTAACAAGTGTCTCAAAACATTTCAAACGGTGTTGAATTCTACTGTGTGCCACATGAACAAGAGCAATATCAATCGACTCTTCACCATCCTCATCTTCCAGAGTACCGAGTTCTCTCGCCGACGAAAGAATGGTTTCGCAAACAAGCTGAAAGAACAGAAAAAACCGAATACTTAAATGAAGCCAGGCGAAAGAATGTTGTGACTCGCTGCGTCTTGCATACCGCTAAGATCGGCAATGTCTTTGTCCAACGCTCGTGATTAGACGAAAAACATATTTGAATATTTCTTTGCCATGCTCAAAACATGTGTCACATATGAACTTTGTAATGGACCTTACTCACCATAGAGTCCCTATGGCTCAGTGGTAGAGCATTGGTAGAGCAGCGGAATCGGGTGTGAGGTTCGATTCCTCACGGAAACTCGTGACTAGACGAAACACATCTTTCTGTGTTCGATATAGTTGCATATTTTTTGATCGCTAACGTTTGTGTTTGTAAATTTTGTAATGAATAATACGATTTCTCCCAGGGAAGAATGGGTGTTGGGTGAAGGGCTTAAACAAAAGCTGCGAAAGAAAGTACAGCTATTCTTCAATACATCGTAAAGGGTAGTTTTATAGTTACATTATGTAAATAACTTCAGCTAATATTGAGATGAATAAGGGGTAGAATGAGACCTCGAGTTCCATATTACTAGAAGGCTTGTAAGCCATGTGAGCGAAATCCATCAGATACTGCAGTCCCGCGGAGTTTAGACGGCGCAATTCATCGAGCGGAGGTCCCAGCTGTGAGTTACCAATCCATTCACGAAGAGAGTCCAACAGAGTGGCGCTAGAATGAGCTGTAAACGAAGAAACAAAACAAACATAACACAATTGTTGGTAAAAATAACTAAATTAAGTCCTCCAGCTTATCTGATTGACGCCATGAGCATCGAGCAGCCAGGGATTGACAATTTTAGTAATTTCTTTTATTTTTGTCCACATTTTCAGTTTTCTTGACCGGTATAAAAATTTAGGGAAAGACGACTGGTAGTGGATGAAAGTCTCGATTCGCTCCTATGCTGGCGGCTACCAAACACCAAACAATGAGTCTACTTTGTGTAAATCGCTCGATGTATGTAACACAAGAACAACGTAAACGGTTGAAAAACAGATAAAGTAAATGCAAAAAGGTGCACTGTTACCTGTGACGCTTGATGCGTCCTTTAACAATTTTTCCACGCGTTGTTTGATTATGAACGAAAATGGAAATCGGCAAGAAAAACGATGACCGCCGGCTCCAGAACCAATAACTTGGACACGCTCTCGAACAGAATTAGTACCGGGTGATATCATGTCGTTATAACTCAGATCTGAGATGATACGGTCGGCCAGGATCCTTAGCCACAGCTTCGAAACCCAAGTATTGTCATTCTTCACCAAATCCAAATTGCAGTCTCTGTCTGATAATGCAATGATCTCCGCCAAAATTGGAACCACAACTGAAAACACACGCTGCAAAAGAGCCTTTCTAAAGGTGCCCCACTCTTGCACACCTGTTCCCGACAGAGCTTCTGATTGGAGCCATCTTTGTGGATTTGCCGCTGTTAGCTCCCTTTCCTTTAAGAGGTGGTATATTCTTTGTACTACCACGCTTGCAAACGACTCTCGATCTTAAAAGAGATGGAAGTTAGGATTGAACACATAGTTAGTACCAAAATACTGAATTTGAAGAGTTGAATTCAACCAGGTACTGAATTGAACCTGGTTTTCTTAACTCTCTTCACCTTCACACATTGTTACCTTTCTTCAGCTATTGCCCCCAAAACTACAATTTTGAATATCACTTAAAAATATTTTACGTACATACATACATACATACATACTAGCATTTTATTGTGTTAGCACTTTTAGCACTGTGCCCAAAATTGAATTGGTCAAATGCACGAGAAAAAGTTGCAAATTTGATGCTCGTTCAAATCGAATATTTCTTTAGTTGTGAAATAGGTCATGGGCCTTACTCAGAGGTTCCTAGCTTTAAGCAATGAATAACGTGATCATCCCACCCTTGCAAACCTCGAAGTTTCCCTGACGACACCAGAGACGAAGATGGTCACATCTTCGGGATGCCGTATAAAGTATTGTCTTTTGTAGCTTCTATATGAAAATAGTTTGTCTTTCGTAGCTTCTATACTAAAATTGATTATCTTCCGTAGCTTCTGTTTTTAGCCAATCTGTTTAAGTCTCCACTTCTTGCTATCATTTATTGTAGAAAATAGTAAATATTTTCAGTTACAGGAAAAAGAGCACGTTCATCAATACCTTTCCATAAATTCCTGAAGATCTAATGAGGATAACACCAACGGTACGGTCGGATAGTTGCAATATTCAGCTTAAATGTAGAGATTTTACATTCGCCTTCCAAGTTTGAAGAAAAGCAAGTTTAAAACCATTCAGGCTTTTAGTGCATCTTCCGAAAAGGTTACATTCCCTAAACTGAAAGACTTGCGGACTTTTCTCAAATCCTATTTTTTCATATTGTTTATTGTTTATTGTTTACTGTTTCTCTTTACTAACCTTCCTGACTTTCATGGTCATCTGGTAGTAGATCCAAAAGCAGCTCAATCCTATGAGTTGACCGTTCAGCTGATTCCGTTTCGCTATCAATCCTACAAGCGGCCGCCTGTACACAATTGCGAAGTAGCTTCACCGCCACCGTCACTACTTGCGTGACGTCATATTCCCCATTAAGGTCTCCACTAAAAAGCTCACTGATAGGACGATCGATGAGTTGCTCAATGGACGGAGTGTGCTTACCAGGAGGACGAAGTTCATCAATGTGAGCGGACATCCATTTTCCACCCTGGAAACCGACAAAGTTACGACACCCACCGGCAATTCTTGGCAGCTGTACGATCAGCACAATGTGGACAGCTTCCAGCGAAGACAAATTGAGCATTTCCGAAGCGTTTGTTCGTTCCTCCAGCAGAATGTGCCTTGCGCTCGCAATCAGGTTGAAGTTTTCATCTCCTGAATCACACTGAACAAGAAGAATACCAGGACATTCTCCTCCAAGATGTTCAAAAAACGTTCTGTGAGAAAAAAAAAGGTACAAATCGTAACAAAGTTATTTGGGATGTACAGGGTGAGATACACTTTCAGCTTTTAATGTGTTAGCCACAGACAGGGTTTGAGGAGACGGTGAGTAGTACATGCCAGTTGTCGTTCAAATATTAGAGATGCCCTATGATCTAAAGTAGAAATTTACCGCATAAATTGAATTGAAAAGTAACGCTCGTAAACAAAACTTGAAAATGTCACACAAAAGGTCTTTCTCTCCCACAACTACTCCTCGTACTTGACAGAAAAGGAAATTCACCTTACCTCATTTCATGGTTTGTGCCTTCAATTAGCTCGTTTCTAACATGATAATGAAATTCTGTTCTACCCTTAATGCAATTACAATGCTCTGTGCGCTGATTTA